AACCCCAAAACCCCAAAACCCCAAAACCCCAAAACCCCAAAACCCCTTATAATAATTAAAATATTGACTCAACCAAATAATATTAAACTTTTAAAATGGCCGTCATCGAGCAGTTTAAGAGTAAGTTTGTCATTACCTCACTGGGAAAGCCTTTTGGACTGGCATAAGTTTTAGTGACTGGAAAAACAATTTGTAATTATTTTAAATAAACATTGCTGATTTTATCATTATAGTGCCAGGAACGTCTCTCGAGAAGGTAGTCGTCCACCCAATCGTCTTGTTATCAGTGGTCGACCACTATAATCGTATTGCCAAGGGCACCAGGAAGCGTGTGGTAAGCATTGAGGGCTAAATGATTTATAGGTTGGAACTCTGCTTGGAGAATATAACAAAGGAGTCCTGAATATTACTAATTGTTATGCCATTCCATTCGAAGAGGACCTTAAAGACAAAGACATCTGGTTCGTAGACCATATTTATCACGAGCAGATGTACACAATGTTTAGGAAAATCAATGCGAAAGAGAAGATAGTGGGATGGTACTCTTCAGGACCTAAGATCAAGAAGAATGATATCGAAATTCATGAAAAATTTAGAGAATACAACACAAATCCTGTCTTTGTCGTGATCAAAGTTCAGGAAAATGAAACCCTGGGAATCCCCACAGAGAGTTACTGCTCTGTTGATGAAGTTAATGAGGAAGGACAATTGGAGAAGAATTTCGTACATATTCCATCCTCTATTGACGCTTCAGAAGCTGAGCAGGTAGGAGTAGAACACTTATTGAGGGACATCAAGAACGTCTCCATTGGAGACTTGTCCAAACATATCTCAGACAAAGTCCTTGGCTTAAAAGCTCTGAATGCTAAAATAATCGAAATGAAAGAGTATTTAGATGATGTACTGGATGAAAAATACCCTGTAAATACTGAAATCATTGAGAATTTGCAAGACATATTCAACTTGATGCCAAACCTAGACTTTGATTCGATCATCCAGTCTTTCAGTGTCAAGACTAATGACTACATGCATATGACTTATGTCTGTTCTCTAATCCGTGCCTGCATCGGGGTCCATAATTTGATCAACAACAAGGTTGCTATTATCGAAAGGGAAAGAGCTCTGCTCGAGGAGGAAGAGAAGAGAAAGAAGGCCAAAAAGGAGCTTGAGCAAAAAGAGAAGGAAAATAACCAAGCAAGTCAGAAAGATGTAGAAATGAAGGATGATAAATAACTCCTAATTCAATATTTAATATTCCTATTGGGGTTTTGGGGTTTTGGGGTTTTGGGGTTTTGGGGTTTTGGGG